TTTGATTCCATTCCCCTGTGGGTTATTACATATCTTAAATACACTGAGTAAAGATTGCTTAGAAACACCAAAAAGAGCAGTATGAAGTAACACTTGTTTTCCACAAGGACTCATATACCTGAAAAGACACAGTCACCTTCCATGAGAAAATCTGTTCTTGCTATCTTTCTCGGTGTGCTGGTTTTGGCTGGGGTAGAGTTAATTTTCTTCACAGTAGCTACTATGGGGCTATGGTTTGATTTTGTGCTGAAAACAGTGTTGATAATTCAGGGATATTTTGTTACTGCTGAGCAGTGCTTACACAGAGTCAAGGCCTTTTCTGCTTCTTACGTCATCCAAAGTAGGCTGGGTGCACAAGAAGCTGGGAGGGGACACAGCTGGGACAGCTGACCCCAACTGACCAAAGGGATATTCTGTACCATACAACATCTGCTCAGCATATAAAACTGAGAGAAGAAGAAGGAAGGGGGGGACATTCGGAGTGATGGTGCTTTGTCTTCCCAAGTCACCGTTACACCTGATGAAGCCCTTGTTTCCTGGAGGTGGCTGAACACCTGCCTGCAGAGGGGAAGTGGTGAATTAATTCCTTATTTCGCTTTGCTTGTGTGCATGGCTTTTGCTTTACCTGTTAAACTGTCTTTATCTCAACCCACAAGTTTTCTTATTTTTGCTCTTATTCTCTCCCCCATCCCACCTGGGGGGCAGTCAGCGAGCAGCTGTGTGGGGCTTAGTTACTGGCTGGGGTTAAACCACGACACTCAGTAAATTGATGTACTCACAGCAAAACACAAGCTGATGGTTAGACTGTTCCCAGCTCCAGGTGATACTGTTTTGCTGCAACAGCAGCAATTAATCCCGAGATGGACAAAAAGAAAACAGAGACAGACATGGCAGAAAGAGAAGTGGCAGGTACCTGTAAAGAAACTGAATTTATCCAGTCCTAATATTTGTAAAATTACCTTTTCACATTTTTCATAATCTGTACCTGAATTTTTCCCTTTTTAAGTTTCCAACTGTGCTACTGGAATAAAGTGATGTGGAATGAATGTCTGTTAGGGAGAAAAGAAAACTTGTAGGGTTTGATCAGTTAAACAAGTGGTTTGTAACTGAAGACCATCATAAGGATTCAACAAGATATCTAAATAACATAATGGAGGAAACTTGAATTTTGATATCTCTTATTTTGGAGAATCTGAACTTAAATCTTCTTATTCTACACACGATTTTATGTGTGTGTGCTGTATGTGGAACTGCAGTGTGGAACTCCTGTACATATATGTTTTTTCACCTTACTTTCCTGCTACCTGATATACAAGAACAAGAAGGAGCTTACCTGCAGCAGCCTAAAATGAGGATTTTAGTCCCAGAACTACATAGTAACCACCTTTATTGCCTTTACTACATGGAATGACTATAATAGAATACATTTACTTCATATTGAGGTGAAACTGTAGATATGCTGTGTATGACCTCATTAATGTTTATAGATACGTAAAGGATGAGTGTCAGGAGGATGGAGCCAGGCTTTTCTTGATGATGTCCAATGACAGGACAAGGAGCAACGGGGAGGTTCCACATTAACATAAGGAAAAACTTCTTCACTGGGAGGGTGACAGAGCACTGGAACAGGCTGCCCAGAGAGGTTGTGGGGTCTCCTTCACTGGACACATTCAAAACCTACCTGGATGCATTCCTGTGTGACCTGCTCTAGGTGGTCCTGCTCTGGCAGAGGGTTGGACTAGATGATCTTTTGAGGTCCCTTCCAACCCCTAACATTCTGTGATTCTGTGTTTCTGTGATCTGCAATAAAATAACATCTGAAGTTGTAGTAGTAGTAGTTTCAGTTGCTTGTAATTTAATTCCAAGATTGTTAATTGGAGCTATACTTTTACTTTCCCTTATTTTTAAGGTGTTTAAGGAAGCCTACTCAATTTACTCTGTATAGGATAGCAGTTTTTAGAGATGGCCTAGTGAAGGGCAGAAGAGGGTGTCCCTGGGCTGTTAGGGTCCTGGGACACTCTGTTACTTGCTTGGAAGTTAGGAAACTGTGTGTGTCTTTGAGACAAATTTTACTAGGTTTCCTTGCTAAGAAACTTTTTATTTTAGTAGAGCAATGGTACAACATCATGACATGATACTTGACTGCAGCTGAATAGGTGAATCAACCATGGGGCTGTACAGTGAATTCACAAGAAGCAAATGCAGCATTGTGAAAACAGGGAATGACAATTACATATGTGGATTTAGATTAAATACATTCTGGGAATTTGTATAGAAAAAGACTTGTTTCATTTTTGTTACTTCAGAGCAGCTTAAAACCAGATTTCAGATGGAATAGAGATACTCTGGCATAAAACTTTAGTTTATCCCTTTCATCTGGCCTGCAGTGAGTGTGAGGGGTTTGAGCCTTTTATCCCTTCCTGGCTCAAGGAAGAGAATCCCGCTCTACCTATTTTGTTCAATGTCCTTTGCTAGAGCACGTAACAGTATTTGAAGCAAATTCCACTAAAAACTCACATCTCATTTCTGTGGTATTTCTGTCTCACATTACACAAATCTTTAGCTTTAAGGGCAACTCTAAAAACCACGTGCTTATCCAGGAGAACTGCCTTTACTTTTATGATACCAAAATCATATTTGTTTTATTTTATTTACTTATTTAACATTTATTTAGCTAACAACTCTTCTGTTTAGTAGAATCTCATAAACAAGTTGTAGACTATCCACCAGAGGTTCACAATCTAACTGAAGAGAGGTCAGTGGCTTTGTAGACCAGCTCAGAATGACAGCTGGTACATAGGGACTGGATAGAGGAAAACACTGATGCAGTTGTAGTAGAAACAGCTGAAAGATTCACCAGGGCAGGGCTTAATGATGGGAAAGACCAGGCAAATGGGGGAAAGTGGGGAAAGGAAAGAAGCTGGTGGCTATATTGAAAGGGGTCTTGGCTCCTTTAGGCAAGCGTAGCACCACAGAAACTGGATTCAGAATATGTAATTGGAGGATAATTATTCTGTGTGGCAGGCACTGTGTTTACATGCATTGTATGATGCCAAGTACATTTCAAGCCCAAGAAACAATACAAATTATTATTATTTATTTATTTATGGGACCAGTGAGGATAATAATCTGCTAGAAACTTGCACTGCTGGAGAGAGCATTTAACTTTTCTAGACATGCCCCATGATTCTTGTGTTTTAACCCATCAAATTAATTAAAATATTGCAAATGTTTCTCCTCAAGTGGTCTCTAATTTGCACATGTATGGAATCCTAGAAGTTAAAAATGGAAAAGGCATATTATTCAGTTCCATTATCTGCTTACACCATATTTTCTTTAGAAAGAAATTACCATATTGAAACTCAAATATGCCCATTTGCAAGGGCAAATGCACAAAATAGTCAAGATAGACATCTATTTGCATACAAGACCACATATATTCAACTGTGAGAAAAACTAAGAGATTGAACAGAGGCAGACTGGAAATTCCATTTTACATTTCAGATAGGCAGCTTGTAAACCACTGTGAAAAACCTCAGCATGAGGTAAACCTTAATATAATATAACTTTGTTTTGTCATTTTCACACGTATTTTCCTAGATAAACCTATGCAGAGATGTTTCAAATAGCCATGAGAAAATTTTTAATCTAATTGGAGTCACAATATACTGGACACTTGTCCTGGTTTGGGCTAAACCAGAACAAATTCTGGTTTAGTGCTTTAACTTTTCAGTTAAGTCTCTTCTAACTAACTGCACTTTCTGAAACAGCAGCACACTTTTCCAGACAGTGACTGCTTCCAGCAGTGACAAGGCCTGATGCTTATAGTTCGTACCAAGGAATGGTGTGCAGAGGGGCCCTTGCTTATACTTGTTCTTGCAGCAATCAAGGTCACTGCTAGACCTTGTACCCCGTGTTGGGGTGCCAGGAGTGAAAAGGGTCACAAGCACGAAAAAGGTCGCACCTGCAGGGAGGAGCAAACCGGACAGGTGACCCAAACCTGACCAACAGAGTATTCCATCCCATAGATGTCATATTCAGCATGAAGCTGAGGGATCACAAGGGTCAATCTCTCTCTTCTTTGATGGCCAATATCTGAGGAGGACTCTGCCTGTTCTTCTGTCGTCGATCCTGATCCGTGCATCCCTGAATCCAGTGCCTGAGTCCAGCTGCTGCGTCTGGTTTCTATCTGTTGCCAAGTCCAGCCTGGGACTGCCCCAGTGCCAGCCCTGCAGTCTCGGTGGTGACGTTTCGTCATCAGGGTGAGCGGAGTTGGGTTCAGTATTGGTTTTGTATCTATTCATATATATTTCATTATTTCCTTATTCTTATTGTTTTCATTAAAGTTGGTTTAGTTTTCTTTTCCAAACCGTAAAGTCTCTCTCCCTTGTTCTCTCTCCCTTTCCCTTTTTGGAGGGGAGAGAGGTTAATAGAGAGCGTCTGTCATTCATTAGTGGCCAGCCCAGCCTCAACCCGTGACAGATTAATTGGTGCCCAACATGGGGATCGAACGGAGCTCCGATAAATTACCTGAATAGCATGAATTCCTGCTCATTTGGCTTTTTTTAAAGAGCAGATTTTTTTCTTTTGAGATCCTTGAGCGGTTGGAAATTAAAACAAACAGCTCACAAGATGATGAAGTTCTTAAGTTTAATACCATGGGGTTCCATACTAGAGTCTGGTTTAAAGTTAAGTGCCGTGATATCACCTTATCTGCCATATGTGTTGAATTATTGTTTACTGGTTTTTAGCCTTGCCTTTTGGATTATCCCTTCTGGGCGCTGGGCGAAAATTACCACTATGATACGGAGTTTATCGCTTGATTATGCTGGGATAAATTGGTTAGTGAATTTACCCAGGTACATCTTGTGTTACATAGTGGATTCTGTTATTAGTTACACTTTCGGTCACACCTGGGGAAATGATACCGCTCCCTTTTATAACAAGATTGTGAGGGTCCCAGATATGATTATCACTATAAGAATATCATGATTATATGGTGCCCAACATGGGGCTTAAACCCATGACCCTGAGATTAAGAGTCTCATGCTCTACCAACTGAGCTAGCTGGGCTATTAGAATTAAAATTAGCCAGCTAGAATTAGTTCTGGTTTAGCCCAAACCAGGACAATACTATATGAAAAGTTTGTTTTCCACCACAGCTTTGGATATATTCAGATGCTTTGACAGACAGAGGGAACTTTTGGACATTTGCTACAACTGAAATTTTGAAGTTGTTCTACTGGAAGATAAAGCACAAGTTGTTTTGATTTCATTAATAAAAGCCAAAAAAAAATGAGAGTATGAAATCTGAAGTCCATTAAATTTTAAGAGCAAATAAACCGTATTTATTAGGTAATTTGGTTTGTTTAAGAAAGAGCTGGAGGATTTGGACCTGATGTCTTAGGCATTTTCCAAGCTTTGTTACCTTCCTCACAAAGTACCTTGTATGTATCCTGCAAAATAACTGGTTAGGCAACAATCTCATGCTCAAAGAATCTGTTTTCCTTTCTAGAGATTTTGGATGAGGGATGGAGGGTTACATATATTGATGCTTTCAAAAAACCACCCTTTCTCTTACTACCAAGCTGAGTGAAGATGTAAAAGTGAGCCTGTTTCTGCTCCTCTTAATGTTACTTTCGCTCTTCAGTAATGTTTCTTGTCTTGACTGATGCCTCACACACTTTTCTAGCTTCATTTCAGCTCCCATGCATGTTTGTCAGAAGGTAGTCTTTTTCCACCTGCTGATGATTTGTACCTCAAGAAACTCACCTCAATAACCACTGTGTTCCACATGTGGGTCCACCATTTTCCAGCACTGAATAAATAAAAAACAAGTTTCAACAGGGGTGAGCCATCCTGCTCTATCTTGCTATTTTTAAATTGAAAGAACCCTAAAAAATATTGAAATACTTTCAGGTTAAAAAAAAAAAAAAAAATAAAACCAGTAATTTGTGGCCTCACTCAGAATTAATTATGACTGACAAAACTTTGGATCCCAGCCTCTCCCCTAACCAGTACTCTTCCCTTTCATCCACACATTCAGTAAAAATTCAGGACCCTTCTAACTGTAGTGAGGCACCACAAAGCTGACCCGAGCTTTAAGAGGTTACTACTGGTTCTTTAGCTTTGTAAGGAGCGCACCAAAGCAAACAAAGCAGGTTACTTTTGAAAAGTGAAGCTGTTATTAGAAATCAAATCAGATTTTTTGAAAATGTTCTGTATGAGCTAGAATGAAATCTGTAAAGAACTCCCTGCCTTGCAGAGTCCTCTCAGGCGCTTAGTCCAGCAGCTTCCTGGGTGGTGTCTTAGTGGTCCCTTTGGACAAAGTTTTCTGTGGTTCAGCTCTGTCTTTACCCCCATTCTTGTTTCAGCCTCTCTCCTGGCTGCAAGTCTGTTCTACCCTTCTCCTCGCTTACCTGCTACCAGGAAGCCCATCCTCTCTCACATGCTGAGCTGCTCTCAAGGTAGGGGTAATCTTTCCTGCAAGGGTGGACTCGACCCTGTGTGAAGCAGTCAGGACAAAGTCACCATCAGCAGTGGCCTCAGCTGTCTACCTGCAGGCCTTTAACCTGAAGTACTGCAAGGAAGCAATGTGGATATCCCCTTTCTCCCCCTGCCCCCTGTCATACTGTGAACTGCATGCGCTGCTGATTGCAGCTCACCCGTCGCAGTGATTTTCATGACCGATAGATGAAGAGATCGCAGTTCAGCTATTCAGATCCTGCTAGTGCTAATAAGAAGACAATGTGGGTAATTAAACTAAAACACAATGCAAATGTGTTGGTCCAGGTTATAACATCAATATTTGTTCTTCCTGCTAATATAAGCATCTTCCTTCCAGTGATCTCGTCCTTCAAATGAAACAGCTTGTTCTGTCTGAAATAAAGTGTTTTGCATATTACAGAGGGACAAAAGGAAGTATTTGTAAGGAACAGACACTATTTTTCAAAATTCCATGTAAGTACATCTGAAAAATGACAGAGAGAAAAATCAGCCAATTGTTTTGAAAGGATCAGTACAAATGTTCTAACCTTTATGTTTGTTTGTTTTTCCCCTGAAACAATCTGACAAATTTCACATATATTCACTATTCAGTACACCCACATATGAACTGTAGTGATGTCTTTATATGACATTGTTGGTTTATTTTTGCAATTAAAATTTGTCTTTTATGTCAATCCTGTTGCTGATGTTTGCTGCGTAGTAAAGCTTATCTCTTGTCCTGTTGCCCAGTTTAAATTCAAGTATTTGCAACATCCCCCCTGCTGATGCAAAGCTGGAAAAACGCTGGACTCAATTTACTGGACTTACACATTTGTGGAGCTGCATGGATAAGGCATTTCATTACACAATGAGCATAGACACTAGCAGTCAAAACACTGATAATGTAAAAGAGCCCAAACGAAATCAGCTTTTGGGAAGGATATCAAAAAAGTCTGCCTTTCTGGTTCTGTCATTTCTAAATTTGCATATCATGGGCAAAAGAAAAATGCCAAAGGGCCTGTATACTGTTTCTGCTGCTAAGATTTCTTTATAATTTTTCATTCTTTGCATACCTATTCTAATTTTTAGAAGATGGCCAAATACAGTAGTCAGAAATCACCTGGAATAAAATGGTAAACTTTTAAAAATGTAAATTCATAAAAACACTTCCATTACTAATAAAGGGCAAAGTTGAGGCTTATCAAGAAGCACTACAATACAGAGCTGTGTAGTGACTTGAATATGGGCAAGAAATCTCACGTCTAAGCCATGTTCCTTCACTGGTGTGAGTGTAGCAAAGAGCCTGTGACTTCCCTTACCAGAAACTACATGTGACAGAAATTTTTCAGTCTTTCTTCTCTTTGGTAGTAACCAAACAAATGGATCCCTATTTCCTATTCTAGGACCACGGGGCGGAAGGATTTTTGTGGGTCATTGAATCCAGTCCTCTGCTTTTGCAGGCACCATTAGCTTTGCGTTTTGTGTTTTCTGAACAGGATCACGTACCCGTCAGTAGCAGGTCTCCAGTCACAATTGCTTTCTCTGTGTCCATGATATATCTGGTTTTGCATCCTGCTCCAGAAGTTTGATTTCTTCCCAGACTGCTTTTTGGGCTGCTTAAAAACATATGCACATTTGTGTGAGACTGAGACGCATGGACCTGAAAGTCTACTGGCATTCTAGGTGCCCTGAGACCTGGCAATATGGCACTGCACCTGTAAGACATCATTGTCCTCCGGAGCAGCTAAAGGTTGAGACATGCTAAGGCCCCTCAGACGACAATGTATGTCTATGTTCAGGCAAGTGGAGCCCATCCATTTCAGTAGGTTCTTACCTTGAGATTGAGTTCAAGACTAATGTACCATAATGTAGATGTCTATATATGTCAGTATCTCCCATTATTGCCTATAGAAGTTTAGGACTCAGTTCAGGTGCACACAAGTTGGTATCTCATGTTCTGCTAAAGACGTGCCAGTGTATCCTGGCCATCCTTCAGCTGCTGCTCCAGGAGAACACAGGTCTCGTGGAGGCACTGGGTCCCCTAACCCCGCAGATACCCTCGTACACCTCAGAGAGCACAAGGATCAGGCAGCTGAGTTGAGCATTTAGTCAACACCACCAGAGGAGTACATTTGTCAGATAGACATAGGCACCTAGTGTCACTTGAAGCCTACCAGAGTTTGAAACATCTGCACAGATGACACAGCATTTGTGGGTAACCTTTGGAGCACAATTTGGAGGCTGGATCAGATATCCTACAGAACCTAAAGTGAAATAAATGCTTCCCTTTGGGCAGCTGCATCCTCTCCTGGGAATTCTCAGAACTATGTACCTCTTCTCCACTGCAATAAACCAGTTCTCACCTCCACTCTCTGCTCTGCTCACTGCTCCCTTCACAGGCTCCCTCTGCCCTCTGCCCAGTGGGCCTTCCTACCCAGCCATTCATGATGTGCCTGTCGACATGACACAGACATCCCACCAAATCATGGCACCATGTAGGTGCACACCATAGCTATATCTCCACTGCAGGGCCTGTGTGCGCAGCCACTTCTCCCCTGCCTCCCGTCACCAAGCTTCTGGTTTGGCTGATCAGAGGACATAGCAAAAGCTCTGGGAGCATAAGAGTTGTGGTTCATTCCCTTACCCCTAACGGTGAATACTCTATTACAGACACAACACTTGCTATGGAGCTTGGCTACCTGTAAGTCACTACACAACTTGCTCTCAAATCTGTATCCTTCCTCTTCTGCTCACCTCCCTTATCCTCTGCCTTCACAGCTCCCTTGCTAGGATCTAGTCCTCCCTCCTCCGGACCAGATCTTCTGCAAGTTTCTCTTTCCATCATCACACTTGCTTGTTCCTAAATATCAGAACTTTTTCTCAGCTATATCAGTAATTCTACTTACATATATATTTTTGTATCTATAGTTTCTTAATTATTGTATATTCTTCCCTGAAGAGGCTATTATATCTTCATACCTTAGTCTCTATTTGCCTTTAAAATATCAGATAACATATAATGGTGAAATATTGAATGCTGTTAATGTTGTAGTGGAGCAGGAAACGAATTTGAATGGGGACCCTGAAGGTTTATTAGTTTTGTGGTCTGTATTTTTTAATACTATGCAAATGCTAAGTGTAATTGCTTTTTACCATTGATTTGCTTGATTTATAGAGTTTGAGGCCTAAAGCTCGACACTGATCATCAGGAATGACCTTTTTCATTATATAGGCTACCAAATATAGTCCAGTAATTCTTTATGGAGCCCAGTATGTTCTTCGTGAGGTAATTATTATTGGAAAAAAAAAAAATCAGATGCAATTTGGTGACCACATCTAATTTCTCAAAGCCATAACAACCCTTATAAGCCTTTGTTTTCCTGAGGATACCCTTCAGCAAGAACTTACTTTTGTGCTTTAGCATTTTAATATCTAATTATAATTTTAATTAAACAATGAAGATACTGCAATAATAGTTTCCTCATTAAAATATGAATCAACAGGAAAATTAAGGTATTATGGCAACCTAAATTGGGCTATGCTGAAACTGGGTGGTTTTTTTATTTAAGAGTTAAGTCTTAATTATT